CAGTGCCACCTGGCTTGTGGCACTGGTGGGTGGCTTGTTTATCAGGCAGTGCCACCTGGCTTGTGGCACTGGTGGGTGGCTTGTTTATCAGGCAGTGCCACCTGGCTTGTGGCACTGGTGGGTGACTTGTTTATCAGGCAGTGCCACCTGGCTTGTGGCACTGATGGGTGACTTACTTCATCTACTTCTCTTCCTCCTAACCTCATGCGTTACTTCCTCGTTCTTATCCTTCATTCCCTCATTCCCATTTTTCCTCCACATTTCTCATCGCCTTTTTCGCTCGCGTAGTCCAATTCATCATTCTGCAGCTCATCATTCTTCTGATCTGTCTCTCTGGGGGAGCCTGGGCTCCACCACTGGATTAATCAGCCCCAGGAACCAGCTGTGATGTGTCGTACCTCACAGCTGGCACAATGACGACCACCTGTCGTCGTCCCATTGACGGTTGACACCCACGATTGGTGTCGGGAGACAGGGGGTGGTGGCTGAGACAGGTCGGGACGGGTGAAGTAGCTCGGGACAGGGCGAGACAGGGATGAGTGGCTAGTTTCTGTTGACGGAGTTAATTATCAGGGGAAAAGCACCAAGGTATTACGACTGTATGGCACTGGGAAGGGGTCAGGATAAGGATTTGGGGATGGGACGGTGGGGGGGGGGGAAGGAATGGTGCCCAGCCACTTGTGGACGGTCGGGGATTGAACGCCGACCTGCATGATGCGTGGCCGTCGCTCTACCGTCCAGACCCAAGTGGTTGAATAATAGGGGTGCATGGGAGGCCCTATTTCCTCCCTTATTTTGGAAGACAGTGAGTGGCCCTACGGAGAGAGAGAGAGAGAGAGAGAGAGAGAGAGACAGACAGACAGACAGAGAGGAAAGGTCTGATCTCCGAGTGAGTCAGGCCTTGGTGCCAAGGGATAACACTGTATGCGATCGATGTCAGTCCTGCCCATGGTGGCTGGCACAGGATGGGAGTCCTGGCTGTGATGGCCAGCATTGAGCACGAGTCCTAGCCTTCATCTAAACCCTTCCGCCTTGATAATTGTCCAACTTTTACCAGTGTAGGTTGTGTCTCTCGTGGTGTACTGTGTCAAAGACTTTCTGGTAGTCCACAAATATACAATGTGCTCCAACCTTGTCCTATGTTCCCTACTGTGTCATAGAATAGATGAAGTCTATTAGGCATGATTTCCCCTCGTTGAAAACATGATGATGTGTGATTACACACAGAAATCACAATAGCGTGATGCATCAAATGAATCTTTTTGATGTGCCTTCCATGCACACACCGAATCTTTTAACCATGTCGTAGCTCAGTCGATTAAGCCAGCGTCTGGGATGCTCTCAGACGTAGGTTCGAATCCTCGTCACGGGCCCTTGTGGATTTGTTCATGTTGAAGGTTGGTTCCAAACCTAATTCTCTCTCAGGTGTTTAACTAGTTATAATTGTAATTTTTCTTTCACTTGTAAGTGGATGTTTGTAACAATAGTTTCTTATTTATTGTCTTTTTTCTATCTTTGTAATTTTGTTTTCATATTTAGCTTCTTCCATCAGGTGAGCGGCCTCCTTGCATTTCCACTTGATTCGATCTCTCATTTTCTGAATTGTCTTTCCTCTTGAGTTTCCTCACTGTACTCGTTTAAATACTCTCTTATCTTCGCGTACTATCTTATATTTTATGTAGTTAAGATTCCTTTCCCTGATCCCATGTTTTGTGGTCGTGGTTTGAAGCTCGATCATGTAATCGAAGACTGCGACACTTTGACCATTGGTTTCTGGCGGTGTGTGTGTGTGTGTGTGTGTGTGTGTACTCACCTAGTTGTACTCACCTAGTTGTGTCTGCAGGATCGAGCATTGACTCTTGGATCCCGCCTTTCGAGCATCGGTTGTTTACAGCAATGACTCCTGTCCTATTTCCCTATCATACCTGGTTTTAAAATTATGAATAGTATTTGCTTCCACAACCTGTTCCTGAAGTGCATTCCATTTCCCCACTACTCTCACGCTAAAAGAAAACTTCCTAACATCTCTGTGACTCATCTGAGTTTCAAGCTTCCATCCATGTCCTCTCGTTCTGTTACTATTCCGTGTGAACATTTCGTCTATGTCCACTCTGTCAATTCCTCTGAGTATCTTATAAGTTCCTATCATGTCCCCCCTCTCCCTTCTTCTTTCTAGTGTCGTAAGGCACAATTCCCTCAGGCGCTCTTCATACCCCATCCCTCGTAGCTCTGGGACGAGTCTCGTTGCAAACCTCTGAACCTTTTCCAGTTTCATTATATGTTTCTTCAGATGGGGACTCCATGATGAGGCGGCATACTCTAAGACTGGCCTTACGTAGGCAGTGTAAAGCGCCCTAAATGCCTCCTTACTTAGGTTTCTGAATGATGTTCTAACTTTTGCCAGTGTAGAGTACGCTGCTGTCGTTATCCTATTAATATGTGCCTCAGGAGATAGATTAGGTGTTACGTCCACCCCCAGGTCTCTTTCACGCGTCGTTACAGGTATGTGTGTTACATCACGTGTGTGTGTGTGTGTGTGTGTGTGTGTGTGTGTGTGTGTGTGTGTGTGTGTGTGTGTGTGTGTGTGTGTGTGTGTGTGTCAAGTTAGGCGTGGCCACATACTCCTCGGACTTCGACTACATATCGACCTCATGGTCTGGGCATGCGTCAAGGAGCCTCGTACTGCCGATCTGTAACAATGAATAAAGCAAAAGCCCCCATCAGGAGCTGCCCTCACATACACGACTGTTGCACGCACTCAAGCACACGTGCGCACGTGCACTCGAAACCACGCACTCACCCTTAAAACCACGACGCACGCACTCGCCCTCAAACTCACACTCATTCACTCTTCTGAAGGAAACTTTAATATCCTACTAGCTAATTATGTAACCAAAATTGACTGAAACTGGTGTTTGATGCTGAAGCTGGAGATAAGGACTATGGGAGGGGAGATGAGGGATGCTGGGAGTGAGGGGAAGAGAACCGGAGGATGAGGGGAAACCCCGTTCCACACAAGGGGGATTCGAACCCTCACATCTGACAACAAATGAGCGAACGGCTGCAATACGACTGTCTCCAGTGAACCTCTGAACACACTGGAGATAGATAGTCCAAGCGCATTGGAGGTACTAAAGCAGATGCACAAAAATAAAGACCGATAAGCACTAACAATCATGTACGAAAGGGGGGCATGTTATCTCCCATGCACACACACCTGCTGGCCCCCCATGCACACACCTGCTGGCCCCCCATGCACACACCTGCTGGCCCCCCCATGCACACACCTGCTATCCCCCACGACCTCCTAACTTGCTGCCTAAATATTAAAAAAATCCTGTGTGCAAATGTTTCCAATTTTTTTGTCCAGCTTAATCAGGCCGCTGGCGCTCATTGGGGACCATTGAGGGCCATTTTATGGAGGCATTTATGCGGCAATAAATCCCTAATTGAGTCTGGGTTTTTATACGGTAATTGGACAAGCTGTTTAATCCGTATTCAAGCCGACGGTTACGCGGACGGCGCACCGAGAACGACTTAATCCGGATTCGGAAGTACTCAGAAGGGCCGATTGTGAGCGCTCTCAATGTGGCCCAGATATTTGTTAAGACTTCGTGAGTGGTGCACACACACACACACACACACACACACACACACACACACACACACACACACACACACACACACACACACACACACACACACACACACACACACACACGAGGCACTGAACTACAGGCTAGTTTTCCCCTAACTTGTATACCATGCAAGGTGATGGAGAAGATTCGCGAGCCCCGTATAGAGGACCTGGAGGGCAAGAGCCTTGTAACCCACCACCAGCATGGCTTCAGGGATGGTAAACATGCCGTGTTGTCACCTTGAGTGTGTCCACTACAAGTCATTCTCCTGGAGTTGTGTAACACAAATCGACACGTTTGTGTCGAGTTGTAAATAACCTGCATTTACCTGCATTTACCGGTAAATGACCTGTATTTACCGGTGAATGACCTGTATATACCGGTGAATGACCTGTATTTACCGGTGAATGACCTGTATATACCGGTGAATGACCTGTATTTACCGGTGAATGACCTGTATTTACCGGTGAATGACCTGTATATACCGGTGAATGACCTGTATTTACCGGTGAATGACCTGTATATACCGGTGAATGACCTGTATATACCGGTGAATGACCTGTATTTACCGGTGAATGACCTGTATATACCGGTGAATGACCTGCATTTACCGGTGAATGACCTGTATTTACCGGTGAATGACCTGTATTTACCGGTGAATGACCTGTATTTACCGGTGAATGACCTCCACTTCAGCCCTGGACAATACTCCACCAGCCCTGGACAATACTCCACCAGCCCTGGACAATACTCCACCAGCCCTGGACAATACTCCACCAGCCCTGGACAATACTCCACCAGCCCTGGACAATACTCCACCAGCCCTGGACAATACTACTCCCTATCGTATACCGGCCATTATATATTTTCTTGGTTTTTGTCTGAGAGAATAAAGAATAAACCTTATGATTCAACTCTCACACATCTCCCCAAGTTGCTTCACTTCTTGTTGAGAGAAAATCTTGTAAAATTGCACACTATATCTTGCATTCTTGCAGAGATCAGTCTTGTAGGGTTCGTATCCCACTTTGCCAAGACTTGAGGGGTATCAGTGTAAACAAAACCTGTTATTATATATATGTAGATAATTCGTTAGTTATCACCTGAGTTGATGAATCACGTGATAACTCATCAACTGGTTGATGATTCAGGTGATAGTTGGGACAGGGGGTGAAGAGGGTAGTCAGGGTGAAGTACGAGGGAAGAGGGTTTACAACACCAGCCTAAAAAACAGGTTGTTGTTTGTTAAAGATTGACTACCTGGAACAAAAAAGTTCCAAGTAGCACGGGCTATGGTGATCCCGTAGTGTAAACACAGGTGTTTGAGCAGTGAATAACAGATGTCTTTCTATCTCCCTACAGTTCACCTGCTGGCCCGGACTATCCAGGGGACAGCCAGCTCTGAAAATGGCAGTTTCGACTACGACCAATCCTGGATATGTGCTTTGTGAGTATACCCTCTCTCAAACTATGACATGGTATACTCTATACATATACATGGTATACTCTATACATATACGTGGTATGCTCTATTAATCTGCAAATTAGTTATATAATACACTTTTGTGTTCTTAAATCTATATCCTATATTCTGTTATTCCATGAACCAATAGACTCTATACTGTTGTATAATGAATCAGTAAGCTATGCACTGTTATACAATGAATCAATAAGCAATGCATTATTGTATACAATGAATCAATAAACAATAAATTGTTGTATACAATGAATCAATAACAATGTATCTTTCTATTTACAAACATTCATTGACGCTGCCCCCCCCCTCTACCCCCTTTTTTAATCCTACTCTTCCTCTTGGTTCCCCTCCCCCCCCTCACCATTACCCCTTACCCCCTCTCTCCATCGTGATCAGCTTATCAAAAGCTTATCACATATAGTGTGGGATAATGAAAGACGATAAGATAAGGAAGGTAGTTTGTTCTGTCTGGGGACTTCCAGCATTGTCACTGGTGGGTGTGTGGCCTTTGTTTATGGTGTGTGGGGGGGGGGGGGGAATGCTGATAGTGAAGTATTTCTCCATCATCTTCATCACTATCCTCTCCTTACACCCCCACACTTTCCCCCATCTCTCCCCCACCTGCTCCCAGACGGCAGTCTTCACGGAAGAATTCTCAGTAATGCTAATTGGGCGAGAATCTGGATGTTTGGATGGCGTGTGAGAGCTCCCTCCTCTCTTCTCTACTCTCTCACTCTCTCTCCTACCCCGTCTCTCTTCTCTACCCTGCTACTCTGCTCCATTCTACTCTTTTTTCTCATCTTCTCTCACTCGAGAGAGACAGAAGAGAGCCACCTAGTCGGAGCCCATCTTGTAAATCTTAGAACGAAAAGAGAATTGTCCCACAGTTTCCCGACGTCAGACGCCAAGGGATAGTCTCACGCACTCTAGCCAGGTGTGGCCGGCTATCAGTGCCAAAAATCCGCCGTGGGGTTCGGTATGTGATCGCGGTACACTGTTCCCTTTCTAATTCTGCCGACCCCCCCCCCCCCCTCTACCTGATCATGTTGGGCACGGAACCCCCGGGAATCATGGTGCAAAGTTGGGTGAGGCCACACCTCCATGCTTCCAACTTCAAACAGGCTGACATTTTAATTTTTAGATACAGATATATTAACAAAATTGCATTAAGGAAGGTTTACTGTAAATTATAATTAATAATATTAATTTAAGGAACATTTACTGTAAATTTTAATCAGTAATGTCAAATTTTGTTATGCGACTCGTTAATAAGATAAGAGTTAGATAAAGTTGTCAGCATGAATGGTAGAAGCTGACGATTACTGACATAATCTACTGACGTAGATTATGACAAGCAGTTGGGTAGATTGTAAGCAAGTCTACCTCATGTTTGGTCAGGGCAATACACTCGTAGCTGTGTGTAGTTCAACGTGTTGACCGTTCACAAGTGGTTGGGCACCATTCCTTTCCCCCGTCCCATCCCTAATCCTTATCCTGACCCCTTCCCAGTGCTATATAGTCGTAATGGCTTGGTGCTTTCTCCCTGATAATTCCTTTCCCTTCCCCTTTCTCTCTCTCTCTCTCTCTCTCTCTCTCTCTCTCTCTCTCTCTCTCTCTCTCTCTCTCTCTCTCTCTCTCTCTCTCTCTCTCTCTCTCTCTCTCTCTCTCTCTCTCACCTGCGCGCCTCGACACAGAACAATTCAACCCTGATAATTACGAAGTGTTGAACATGGAGTGTTGCGTGTTTTGTCCCTCATTTTGTTAATGAAATTCACTGTAAAGTAGGCCACGATAGGCCTACGGTGTGCGGCACAGTGCCACCCTGCACTATCCTTTGACACATGGACACTGTGTCGCACTTGGATACAGTTGTGTCTCATACAATGTTTTGTTGTGGTGTTGGTGTAAATTATTTTGTGTGTCGTGTGCTGGGATGAGACGGGTGTCGTCTGGGAGGAATTTCTAGACATGTCCCCCACTTTACCCCCCTCTCTCCTTCTCTCACTCTCTCCCTCTGTGTCTCACTCACTCCCTCCCTCTCTGTCTCACTCCCTCCCTCCCACTCTGTCTCCCCTTCCATGCTGGGACGTGGCTTGCATTCAGCTGTCAAGCAAAAGAATTGTATTTTCTGTAAGGTGTTCTGGGAGAGGAACCAACGTCCGAGTTCCCATTCTCTCATGTCATGTCATGTTTGGGACATTTGTTTCACTGGCTCTCTAGTGCCCCATGGCCTCTAGTGCCCATGACCTCTAGTGCCTCAGGGCCCTCTAGTACCCTACAGCAGGGACAATAACATTTACCACATAGCGGGAATTCGCTAATCGGTGCTACAATGATCTACAAAATCAATGTCCAATCCCAAATAATCCACGAAAAAGTCTATACGTGACATATTCGACGTTCTTGGTGGCTTTACCTGCATTCTTACTCACCCCACCAAGACGACTCCAGGCTTAAAGAATCGTCTATCTACGACGAATCAATTCTTGGAGAGCCAGTAAACTGCCCAATGAGGCCACCATCACGTAAGCTAACCCAAAGTTGCAATTTCTTCACTGTTGATGTGTGCAGTCTGGCCTCAGGCCGGACTCGGGGAGTAGAACAACTCTCGCGATCCTCTACAGGTATGCTCCAGGAAAGATGGAAACCAACACCAGTCGCTCTCCAGCTCTAGCAGAACTTTAGCAGCAGCAGCAGCAGCAAATTCCAGGAAAATATAAGCCAGTGGCAGCAGTTTGGGCTGTAACTTAACTTCCAACTGAGGCGGCAAAAGATGACTCTCCAGGCGGCTCTTATGTCTTTTGTTGGACTTGCTCCCCTCGTATATATCCTCTGTTGGACTTGCTCTCTCGTATATATCCTCTGTTGGACTTGCTCCCCTCGTATATATCCTCTGTTGGACTTGCTCCCCTCGTATATATCCTCTGTTGGACTTGCTCCCCTCGTATATATCCTCTGTTGGACTTGCTCCCCTCGTATATATCCTCTGTTGGACTTGCTCCCCTCGTATATATCCTCTGTTGGACTTGCTCTCTCGTATATATCCTCTGTTGGACTTGCTCCCCTCGTATATATCCTCTGTTGGACTTGCTCCCCTCGTATATATCCTCTGTTGGACTTGCTCCCCTCGTATATATCCTCTGTTGGACTTGCTCCCCTCGTATATATCCTCTGTTGGACTTGCTCCCCTCGTATATATCCTCTGTTGGACTTGCTCCCCTCGTATATATCCTCTGTTGGACGATGTTATGATACCAGAGGGCCCACAACAGGTGTCCCCACCACCAGAGGACCCACAACAGGTGTCCCCAACAGAGGGCCCACAACAGGTGTCCCCCCCACCAGAGGGCCCACAACAGGTGTCCCCACCACCAGAGGACCCACAACAGGTGTCCCCAGCAGAGGACCCACAACAGGTGTCCCCCCAGAGGGCCCGCAACAGGTGTCCCCACCAGAGGGCCCACAACAGGTGTCCCCCCCACCAGAGGGCCCACAACAGGTGTCCCCAGCAGAGGACCCACAACAGGTGTCCCCCCCAGAGGGCCCACAACAGGTGTCCCCACCAGAGGGCCCACAACAGGTGTCCCCACCACCAGAGGACCCACAACAGGTGTCCCCAGCAGAGGGCCCACAACAGGTGTCCCCAGCAGAGGACCCACAACAGGTGTCCCCACCAGAGGGCCCACAACAGGTGTCCCCCCAGAGGGCCCACAACAGGTGTCCCCACCAGAGGGCCCACAACAGGTGTCCCCCCCAGAGGGCCCACAACAGGTGTCCCCCCCAGAGGGCCCACAACAGGTGTCCCCACCAGAGGGCCCACAACAGGTGTCCCCACCACCAGAGGACCCACAACAGGTGTCCCCAGCAGAGGGCCCACAACAGGTGTCCCCAGCAGAGGACCCACAACAGGTGTCCCCACCAGAGGACCCACAACAGGTGTCCCCCCCCCCTAGAGGGCCCACAACAGGTGTCCCCCCTAGAGGGCCCACAACATCGCTGGAAGAAGACCTATAATTTACCAGGTACAATCATGCTAATGGAGCCGTCTTCAAGAAGGTGAGCCGGTGATCTTTGTCATTAGAGTGAGTAGATTGGCTCTCCCAAGTTACCTCAACCCCTAATTGCCTTGTTCGTCACCGGTAGTTCTTCTTGATCGTAGGAGCAGTTAGGAGGCGCGTTAAGGTGGACAATGACAGGGTTTTAAAAGTGTTTTGAGGTGGTGATTGAGGAGCGGCTACTAAATAGAGGTGTATGGGTGTTAAGAGGGTGATTTGGCACACTGTGGAGTGGGATGCTGTGTGTGTGGCGTCAGTTGATTATTGGTGTTACGGCCAAGCAGTTGTTTTCTCTTTCGCTGCTGATGGCGGCAGGTATAGATGTGCCACGGGTCAGATGTGGGCCCAAATGGTTGGTCGACTGGAGATATTTACCCAGTGTTTTGTCTATTTGGTATTTTTCCTGTAACGAGTGGTCATCTCTTAATATATGCTCCATGGTGAAGGGTATTTTAAGAGCGATAAATACTTGTTTGACATTTACTCTAGCACTATAATGTCTGAAGCAGTGCAGAAGATAGTGTTGGAGTGTTTCAGGCACCTGACAGTGGATGCAGAGTTTGTTGATGTCCCCACGACATCAACGAACATAGTACAGTACGAACTTAGTACATCAACTGTACTTAGAGCTGTGTCCTGCTAGAGTGGTGTGTCCCAGCCTTAATCTGCTCATCGTTACATCAATTTCTCTGCTTTTATATCTGACATGTTTCCAGGTTTCCCATTTCTTGTTAATGGACCCATAGTACAAAGGTGAGCATCACGTTTTCCATTTCGTTGCAAAATCTTGGGTGATGGTATCTTTTGAAGGCTCCTTGACGTGCAACATGGGGAACTGCATGATGGATAATGGGAGCCGTGTTGTGCATCGCTTTGGCTAGTTGGTCTACAAGTTCATTATGGAGAATACCACAATGCGCTGGCACCCATTGGATAGAGGTGTCATAACCGTTCAATCGATGTTCATGAAGAAATTGAAGACATGGGTAAACAAACTCCTTACACATTGTTGAAGAGTAATTGCCTGAACCGCACTCTTGGAGTCACTACTGATTGTATATATCCCAACTGGTAATATTGTGATTATTTGGAGAACTTGGTCTAAGGGGTATTTTTGGAGAATATTTGGAGAACTTGGTATTAGAAGGGGTATTTTTTGGAGAATATTTGGAAAACTTGGTATTAGAAGGGGTATTTTTTGGAGAATATTTGGAGAACTTGCTCTAAATTCAGCTGTGAAAATAGATAAGTTGGTTTGGTAACCACCATCCCTGCTTCTGATGGTATTGTGGTATCCAAACCGCGCTACTGACCGAGGGCACGTTGTTCATAAGGACGCCAGATCCATCTGTATAAATCGCTGTCGTATTTGGGTAGCAATTTTTCATTGATGAGACAAAGACTGAGGCTCTGGCTGAGATTGGTGCAGAGTTGGCAATGTTGTCTTCCACTTGTATTGATATTAGTTGTGTGAAGCCAAGGTGGAGTACAGGGGGGGAGAGGGAGGGATAGTAAATTGGGTTTCAGAGTTTTGGAGTAAAGAGAGGTCTATATTGGGAGTTACGTGGTACAGAGTTAAGAGGAATTTGAGTACGTGTGATAAACAGGAGGCCTTCTCACTCACCTTGCAGTAGTTACACCTGAAAGGACAGTAAAGAAAACGAGAATAATAAATATTGCTTGACAGAAGCTTTGACCAATCAGGATGGAGAGAAAGAGGGAAGAGAAAGAGGGAGAGAGGGAGAGACAAACAAGAGAGATGTCTCCCCCTTCATTTCACCCCACAATTCCCCCTCTCCCTACACCCAGTGTCCTGGCTCATATACACATTCGAAAAACAAAAATAAATGTAAAAAATAAAACTATTACTGCACTCTTGGAGAACAGAAAACACAATTATTATGGCATTTGACCTCATTATTCTCAACTATTCCTTCCCCCTCCAAAACAAAAAAGAAAGGTTCCCACTTCTTCAACATTTGAAGTCCCTCTGCATTCTAATGACGTCATTCGAGTATTGAACTTCATTGGTTCTGGGGCCAGATTCACTAAGCAGTTACGCAAGCACTTACGAACCTGGGGCCAGATTCACGAAGCAGTTACGCAAGCACTTAGGAACCTGGGGCCAGATTCACGAAGCAGTTACGCGAGCACGTACGAACCTGTACATCTTTTCTCAATCTTTGACGGCTTTGTTTACAATTATTAAACAGTTAATGAGCTCCGAAGCACCAGGAGGCTGTTTATAACAATAACAACAGTTGATTGGCAAGTTTTCATGCTTGTAAACTGTTTAATAAATGTAGCCAAAGCCGTCAAAGATTGAGGAAAGATGTGCACGTTCGTAAGTGCTTGCGTAACTGCTTCGTGAATCTGACCCCCAGGTTCGTAAGTGCTTGCGTAAATGCTTCGTGAATCTGGCCCCAGGTTCGTAAGTGCTTGCGTAAATGTTTCGTGAATCGGGCCCCAGGTTCTCAAGTGCTTGCGTAACTGCTTCATGAATCTGACCCCCAGGTTCGTAAGTGCTTGCGTAAATGCTTCGTGAATCTGGCCCCAGGTTCGTAAGTGCTTGCGAAACTACTTCGTGAATCTGGCCCCCCCCCCTTGAACATCGTGGTAAACTTCCCCCCCCCCCCCCGTGTATACTCAACAGGAAGCGGTATACGCCCATTTATTATCTCCCTGTTTAGCAGGTTTATAAATATTATAGTTTGTCTAGCAACCCGTTTTCTGTTTTGGGTCCTCTGGTTGGTTAGGATAAGGGCACTTTATAGTACGACAGTTTCTGGACGTTGGGGGAACGTTAGGAGGATGGGCTGGCTGGTTATCATTGCTATCTTGAGGTTATCTTGAGGTGATTTCGGGGCTTAGCGTCCCCGCGGCCCGGTCCTCGACCAGGCCTCCACTCCCCTAGGAAGCAGCCCGTAGCACCTGTCTAACTCCCAGGTACCTATTTACTGCTAGGTGAACAGGGGGTTCATGAGGGTGAAAGAAACATTTTGCCCATTTGTCTCCGCCTCCACCGGGGATCGAACCCGGAGCCTCAGGACTACGAATCCGAAGCGCTGTCCACCCAGCTGTCAGACGCTTGACCGACGTCTGTCAACAGATACTGAGAGAGTATCTTGGGAGTGCCAGAGTTATATAAATTATAGTTATATAGTTATAAAAATATACAAGGTAAGTGAAGAAGAGAGAGTATATACTTATAGGGGTTTATATTGGTTTTGGGTTGTGTCTTGTAAATATATTTTCTTTGTCCTCTAAATATTGCAATTCTTGTGCCCATTACGACTTTTACTGATAACTGCCAGTTAAAATTAATCGGTATATACTAAGTTCAATTTGTTTTTTAAATAACCCTTTGCGCCTATATCAAATTTATAAGGATAACTAAAACATTTCATACTCCATTTATATGAAAAAATCGTTTCTGAGTCATTCCTGGTTCAAATGTGGGTTGACTGGCTCTCTCTCTCTCTGGCTCTCTCTCTCTCTCTCTCTCTCTCTCTCTCTCTCTCTCTCTCTCTCTCTCTCTCTCTCTCTCTCTCTCTCTCTCTCTCTCTCTCTCTCTCTCTCTCTCTGTCTCTCTCTCTCTCTCTGTCTCTCTCTCTCTCTCTCTCTCTCTCTCTCTCTCTCTCTCTCTCTCTCTCTCTCTCTCTCTCTCTCTCTCTCTCTCTCTCTCTCTCTCTCTCTCTCTCTCCTCAGGGCCCGTAGTCCTAAGGGCCCGGGTTCGATTCCAAGCCGAGGTACAAACAAATGGGCACAGTTTCTTTCACCCTGATGAACCTGTTCACCTAGCAGTAAATAGGTACCTGGGAGTTAGACAGCTGCTACGGGCTCCTTCCTGGGGTGTGTGAGTGTGAATATATCAGAACATTCTCCTGTTCCTACATCCTAAACGGAGAATTAGAAAGTAGACATTTGGCACTATTGAATTAGGACAAGCTGGGAAAAGGTTTTACATTAGTTGTTAATAAAAGCCTAACCTGGCCTATTACACGCTGAGGGCCTAATATAATACAAATATGTGAAATATACTATATACATCATTATATGTAGAATGGTCTACATATTTAGCAAAAGTTGTATCGAAACAGGAGGATGGGTTGTGATATTTCTTCATTACGTCTTACCTACGCAATATTGACAGATTTGTACTGGTATAAATGGCTGTGTTAAGTGTTACTGACCTCTGACCTGTGTTGCAGGGGTACTGACCCTTGACCTTTGTTACAGAGGTAACCTGCCCTCGCTCCAGCGTCGACATGTGGCCATCGCCAGGCTGAAACACCCGGCCAACATGGGCAGGACTAGCAAACAGGTCAAGCTTTTCATCCTGGTCCTGTGCCCCAGCAAGGAGGTGAGTACCGTGATCTGTTTGGCTCGGTGAGGTGTCAGTATACCATGATCTGTTTGGCTCGGTAAGGGAACGATACCATGCCTGCGTAGCCCATCAGGGTGGACAAAAATGTATTCACCTTTTAGATATGTAGTCTGATTGTTGGTCTGTGTATACATCAAATGCATTTTAGCCTTGAACCAAGTTCAGGAACGAAGCATACTTGCTGATTGGTCAATATGTTTAGTGTCACCACGGTCATTAGTACGACCCTTCAGAGATTGATAGGCACAAAGTAAGCAGGGTGATAAGGGACCGTGATCTGAATGGCTCAAGATGGTCAAAGGTGGCCAAAGTCAAGACTCTGAATGTCGCGTCTATGGGGGGACAGAATGCCACAAGCCTTACCTGATTTTCTCGTAGCTACAAGGATTGACTGTGATCTTAATACCTCTATAACAAAATCCAGATTTCTTCATTCCCCTCTAAAGAACAGTTATCCCCCCCTCTAACTTTTTTTCTAAAGTCAATAAGGGATGCTAGGCTTCGTACTAGGCTTGTACAAGGGGTGCTAGGCTTCGTACTAGGCTTGTACAAGGGGTGCTAGGCTTCGTACTAGGCTTGTACAAGGGGTGCTAGGCTTCGTACTAGGCTTGTACAAGGGGTGCTAGGCTTCGTACTAGGCTTGTACAAGGGGTGCTAGGCTTCGTACTAGGCTTGTACAAGGGGTGCTAGGCTTCGTACTAGGCTTGTACAAGGAATGCTAGGCTTCGTACTAGGCCCCGTGTCCGGAACGCATAATGTCATATTAGAAACCGTTTTCACGACGCAAAATGGGTTGGTCAGAATGTGCCCATTCAACCAAGTGGCCGTCAGTGGCCGATAGGTAGATAACCCTTCCTGCCGCACTCTTGTTTAAGGCTGAACTTCAGCCTTTGTGGTGGTGGACTTTGAATGTGGGTTATGTAATTAGGTATTGGCCTTCGTCAAGACTGACAAGGTAATTCATATGGTAATGAGGGTGTTAAGGGGGGGAGGGAGGGTGTGTGAGGGGGGGGGGAGGGGTTAGGGGGGGACGTGCGTGTGCGTGCGCGCGTGTACTTGCCTATCAATACTTAGCTATCTGTGACTATTGGTGTGTGTGGTTTAGCTCTTTGTGCTCTGCCTACTAGCCTTGTTGTACCTGTTTGTCTAGTCTCTTTGGTATCTTGTATGTTGTTATCATATCTCCTCTATTTCTTGTGTTCCGCCCCTATGGTTGAGAGGTCTAGTGCCTTCAGTCTCTCTTCGTAACTGAACCCTCTAAGCTGCGGCACTAGTTTAGTGGCAAACCACTGTATTTTTTTCAGTATTAGTTTAATGTTTTATAAGGTATGGATTCCATTCACGCATGCATGTACGTGTATTTACTATTTGTGTCTGCAGAATCGAGCTATTAGCGCTTGGACCCCGCCTTTCTAACTAATCTATTTTTCTTTAATTATATCTACTACATATATTTCTGTGTGTGTGTGTGTGTGTGTGTGTGTGTGTGTGTGTGTGTGTGTGTGTGTGTGTGTGTGTGTGTGTGTGTGTGTGTGTGTGTGTATGTTTGTGTGTGTGTATGTGTGTGTGTGTGTGTGTGTGTGTGTACTCACCTAGTTGTGCTTGCGGGGGTTGAGCTCTGGCTCTTTGGTCCCGCCTCTCAACCGTCAATCAACTGGTGTACAGGTTCCTGAGCCTATTGGGCTCTATCATATCTACACGTGTGTGTGCGTGTGTGTGTGTGTGTGTGTGTGTGTGTGTGTGTGTGTGTGTGTGTGTGTGTGTGTGCGTGCGTGCGTGCGTGCGTGCGTGTGCTCACCTGCCTGTATTGACAGGTTAGAACTTCAGTTCGTAAGCTGCTGTTATATGGTTATCAGTTGACTAATTCAATGACTGTTCCTTCACATATATCTTCTATTCTCTATTACATTTTTTTTAAAGTTATCAAGTATCTTCTTCCATCTAACCATGGATAGAGAGTAGATAATAGCACCAATTATGTAGTCGTTCCTTATCCATTCTCTCTGGAGACAGGAGTTGCTGTGTCTTATTGTTCTGTCTACCCAGGTCTCGCTTCATGCAGGTCGGCGTTCAATCCCCGACCGTCCACAAGTGGTTGGGGCACCATTCCTTTTCCCCCGTCCCATCCCAAATACTTATCCTGACCCCTTCCCAGTGCTATATAGTCGTAATGGCTTGGCGCTTTCCCCCTGATAGTTCCTTCTATCTACCCGAGTCCCCCGTAGTACAGTGGGCTTCATTCTCGACTCACAATCTGGTATCCCGAGTTCTATTCCGGCCGGAGCAGAAATAATTTCCTTTCATCTAATGCCCCTTACCCACCTAGGAGTAAATAGATACCTGGGAGTTACATTTTGCGCAGGGTCAGTAGTTTCACCCCCTTGGGGGGGAGGGAGGGGCTTGATACAAGCCTAAAAAAATATATATACACACAGGCATCCTGTCCCCAATGACGGGCATTATCATCCCTAAGTTCTCATGTTGAAACAAGAAATTTCACTTTCTTGATTGCTCTTAAAAGTTTATGTGTGGGGGAAGTTGCCAGCTCGGCTGCCTCGTATCCCGCCCTCAAGTTGGTCTTAGTCGAGGACAAGAGATCTGCTCGAAGGTTTAGCGAGGTCCTCCTTGGCCAGCGAGGTCTCCCTTGGCCACCGAGGTCCTCCTTGGCCAGCGAGGTCCCACTCGGCCAACTAATGACAGTCCCCATGCAGATCACAACAGTTAGCTATATCCCAGGTACCTATTTACAGCCAACTGAGCAGGGGGGGTGGGTGGCTTCAGATGAAAGGAAACGCTGCCTAAACGGTTCTGTTCTGCTCCCGGGGAATCGAACCCAGGTACTTTTCAGCTGTGGGACTTCAATTCGACTGTGCTGACCACTGCGCCACGGGACCCCCCCCCCAAAACCTATCTCATCGAGGCAGATGTCTCCGAAAACGTCAGTTTTACGTCGCTTAGATTTTATTTAACGTCGCATCTTGAACGGATTGGTCATAAACGTGATAAATGCGACGCATTAGCGCTGCGATTTTGTCTCGTTCTTCAACTGCGCCCTCGCAATCCTTGGCGTACGTCTTCACGCGTCATGGTGTGCGTCGTGGGGGGGGGGGAGCTGTGAGGGGCGGGGGGCGGCGTCCCCCCCTCTCTCTTGGCCCCCCCTCACACAACAACAGGGGTCACATTTATACCCCGTCACGCTCCGTCCTCTGTTAAAACTGTTTTTTGTTATTTTGTCCGCGTTGCCTCTTGGGCTTCTGCCGCTTCTCGTGAAACTGTCTCGTGAATCTGGGTCGTGAAGCTGGGTCGTGAAGAAGCGTCGTGAAGCCCCGGTGTAGCACTGACGTCATGTCCTTTCGTCTTCCGGCCGGAATAATCCGATGTCGGCATCCTCCTTGGATGATATCCAAGGATATCCACGACATCCTCCTTTCTTCACCACCACCAACCACCACCACCAACCACCACCAACCACCACCAACACACCAACCACCACAACCACCACAACCACCACAACCACCACAACCACCACCACAACCACCACCAACACACCAACCACCACAACCACCACCACAACCACCACAACCACCACCACAACCACCACAACCAACCACCACCACCACCAACCACCACCAACCACCACCAACACACCAACCACCACAACCACCACAACCACCACCACAACCACCACAACCACCGGACAAGTGGCTGAGATAGTGGGCCTCCGGCGCTCCGGATAAGGTCCCGATTCCACTAGTTCCACTGGTAGTTAATGTTGTCCTTCGAGACCCCCGCGTTATATCCAGTGCCAGGCTGGGGTGTGTGGCACTCGCGGCTCTACGGCACTCTCGAGGATAACCAATGGCTCTTGTGCGCGCCTACAGTGCCTCGAACGAGAGCCAGGCTGAGGTCAAGGTCACAGATAGCGCCCGCGTGGTCTGGTCTTAATCCGCCGAAGGCTGTGGAATTTAAGTGTTTTGATTGTGAAGTCATTACTGGCTTTAATGGTTGTTATAACACCTCGGGGTGGTGATTGGAGGCTTCGGGGTGGTGATTGGTGGTGATTGGAGGCTTCGGGGTGTTGATTGGTGGTGATTGGAGGCCTTGGGGTGGTGATTGGTGGTGATTGGAGGCCTTGGGGTGGTGATTGGTGGTGATTGGAGGCCTCGGGGTGTTGATTGGTGGTGTTTGGAGGCCTCGGGATGTTGATTGGTGGTGATTGGAGACCTCGGGGTGTTCATTAGTGGTGTTTGAAGACCTCAGGGTGTTGATTAGTGGTGATTGGAGACCTCGGGTGTGGGGTGTGTGGGGGGTGGGTCGACCTCAGCCGCCCCCCCACCCCGCGTCGAGACCATTGTGCGGGGAGCGAGAGACATGAGTAGTGATGGTGGGGTATGATAGACCACGTCTCTCTCCTCTCAACCCTCCTCTCTGCTCTCCTTGGCGGCTCCTCCTGCCTCCTGTCTCCTGCCTCCTCCTCCTTCTTCCTCCTTCCTTCTCTTCCTTCCTTCTCCTCCTGACCAGTTGGCCAGGATCTTCTTCATCATCAACACTACCCTTGGTCTTGTCTTGTGTGTTCTCATCTTCTCTTCGTTTTTATTGTTTCTCGGTTCTTTGTTCTTTTTCTGTGATGTTTTTGTATTCGTTTTGATTGCCTCTCTGTTTGTCTGTCTGTCTCTCTCTCTCTCTCTCTCTGTCTCTCTCTCTCTCTCTCTCTCTCTCTCTCTCTCTCTCTCTCTCTCTGTCTCTCTCTCTCTCTCTCTCTCTCTCTCTCTCTCTCTCTCTCTCTCTCTCTCTCTCTCTCTCTCTCTCTCTCTCTCTCTCTCTCTCTCTCTCTCTCTCTCTCTCTCTCTCTCTCTCTCTCTCTCTCTCTCTCTCTCTCTCTGTCTCTCTCTCTCACTCTCTCTCTCTCTCAGACATCCAGGTAATGTTTACCTCCTGGCAAGAGTACACCAGTAATCACTGGCCAATCACCACCA